TGTCTCTTTGTGTTTGTTTTTAATCTCTTCGAGGCTGTTTTGTGTCTTCTTGTTTTGAAGTCTTTTTATGGTCATTTGGTCTCCTTTTTCTTTTGTGTCTTTTTGTGTGTTTTTTTTCTTCATTGTGGTCATTTCTGTCTCTGTGGTCATTTTGTGTGTCTTTATGGTAACTTTGTGTCTCTTTGTGGTTGTTTTGTGTTTCTTTATGGTGGTTTTGTGTTGTGTTTTGTGTCTGTTTTGGACATTTTGTGTCTCATTGTGTCTTTATGTGTTTCTCTGTGGTGATCTTGTGTCTCTTTGTGTTTGTTTTTAATATCTTTGAGGCTGTTTTGTGTATTCTTATTTTAAAGTCTTTTTATGATCATTTGTTTGTTCATTTTTTTTTTTCCATCATTGTTGTCATTTTGTGTGTCTTTATTGTAGCTTTGTGTCTCTTTGTGATTGTTTTGTGTCTTTTTTTTCCATAATCATAGCAGTAAAGAAACCAACAGCTGCCATATCAATGAAACTTTCACTTTCATTTATCCCAGACCACAACCAAGCAATCATTTTGTATTCTTATATCTACATTTTACACATATTTTATCTATACATATATGAAAGAAGGGCTCAAATCCTGAAAATCTTACTGACAAGTTGTCCAGAGGAACAACATCTCTAATGGCAGCAAATGTCCTCACTGATCATTAAATGCTCATTTTTCAGACCAACTGACAGGAAGAGGTTAAATCCGCTGAGGAAATACCCTCTAAGTGTGTGTGTGTGTGTGTGTGTGTGTGTGTGTGTGGTGTGTGTGTGTGTGTGTTTGTGTGTGAGAGTGTGTTTGTGTGTGAGAGTTCGTGTCAAATCAAATCATACAGGTGTATTAATACTGCATCCAGTGATCATTTTCAGAGTAAAAGCCATGTTTATGTGTGTTTAGAGGAGGAGCTCTGGAAGATCTTGGTGAGATTTCTTTTGTTTCGACCTCCTATCTGAGCTGTACTATGATACAGAACTATTTTGAACACTGCTGGTTTGTCTCAATCTAACAATCACCATTTGATAAAATAATAGGTGTGTAAGCAAAAAAGACAAATTGTTTTGTAAAAATAATTCCAAAACATACTCCTAATTTATTACTCCCTTAAATAATTTCCTTCCATTAATAAGCTGATTGTTAACGAAGAGAAAAATGGAAATAGGGTCATTTTCTAAATGTGGTTCACCAAGCAACAATATGACAACATTGCAGCATATTTTTCTGCTGACATGAGTTCCTTATTGAATTTTTTTTTTTTTTTTACCTCTCTCATAAAGAATGATGAAGCGTCTTGTTCTAAAAAGAAAAGTTTCTCATTAAAATTTTATTGTAGAGAAGTAGCATTTAGTCAGAAAAGAGAAAACTTTATCAGTTTATATATATATTGTTGCTAATATATTACATAGGTGGCAGCAAAACACTAAAACACAACATCTATCAAAATAATATTGTCAGAAACTATTGTGTTAATGAATGTTGTAATAAGAAAGTTGTTTCCTTCTGACATAATCTCATCCTAATAAGAAAACATCACACAAAAAAGAGATGATTTTCTTGATAAAATTTGATGTGTTTGTTGTTTCAACATCATGAGAAAAGCTCTTGCACAATTTATAATCAGGATATACAGTATATCAATTACAGTCATCCTCAAATTTATTCATACCCTCCTATTAAAGAAGGGGGGAAAAAACAGCTGTCACTGAAATAAGTTGAAATTGACAAAAGTAGTAACAAATAAAAAAATTAATGAACATCATGACATTGCTTTTGAATTGTGGTTCAACAGAAATATTAAAAAACACACAAGCAAACAAGCATGCTGGGACCCGTAAGCTTATATTTTGTTGAACAACCCTTTAAGCCAATCACTGCAATCAAGTGTTTTCTGTAACTCTCAATCAGACTTCTGCACCTGTTGGCAGATATTTTGATTTTGGCCCACTGCTCATCAGCAAAGTGCTCTAATTTATCCAGGACAGCTTTGTTTTTGTTGTTGTTGTTGTTTTTTTTTTTGTTGTTTTTGTTTTTTAAATGATCCTTTTCAACCACAATTCAAAAGCACTGTCTTATTTCACAAAATTTTAATTTAACAATTTACTATTATTACATTTTTCCGTTTCTAGTTATTTGAGTAACTATTGTGAATTTTGCCTTTTCTCTAATGGAAGGGTACGAATACATTTGAGGACGACTGTATATGAGCTTATAATAAAATATTGTTTTCATTAAAATGAAATACTTTTTTCATTTACATTTTTCTACCGTACATTTTTATATTTTAAAGTATTGAACAGTTCTACATTTGTTAAAGTAGATTTGTATATTTTATTGTATGGTATATTTTTATATTGTAGTTTTTATGTATTTTCAGGTTGGTACTTTAATATAGTTGTTTTAAGTTTGTTAGAGTATAGTATACTTTTTTTGTAACTTTTTTTGTAGTTTTTATGTTTTATGGCATAGTTTTGTATAAGAGTTTTGATACATTTTGTAGTATATTTTATTTTGAGATCCTTATATTTAGCAGGTTTGCATATATTTGTTGTATGGTATATTTTAAATGCTGTTATAGTGGTTTTAATATATTTTATAGTGTGGAGCATGGTTTTCTGTAGCAGTTTAAAAAAAAAAAAAATTTTTATAGTATATTTCTTTAAATATGTTTTAGCCTAGTGCACTTTTTTATATATCCTTATATAGCAGTTTTATACATTTTTGTAATGTAGTTTAATATATTTACACAGACTGGGATGCAAATTCGTTCATGCGACTCTTATTTTGAAGGCCTCCTCGCAGCGTCCTCAGCCTCCATCTTGTTTAGTCCGGCTAGCTTCACGGAGCCCGATGACGTCTCCGTTAACTCCCGGTATAAACACGGGTGGTCCGGTGTCCTCCGTTAATGAGCCTCGTTCAGGCCTCCCAGCACAGACAAGCTGAGCTGTCCGGTGAACGGACGAAGTCAACCGGCCCGGAGTTTACCGAGAGCTGACGGTACTTTTGGCCGACAGCATACAGTTTTCACCGGAGCTACGCAGATAACGGTCCGGACCGGAGGACCGCGCGGGCTGCCAGCTTCACTACTGAAAGCCGAATTAACGGACACTCCCCCGCCTGCGGTCCGGTGTCCTGACGCGCTCTTTGTTGTGGGTCACACCGGGTAAAGAAACGCCATGGAGTTCCGGCGGAGCCTCTCCCGGTGCTCCGACACGGTGAGGTAACCAGAGCGGGACGGGATTTCCTCGTACACACATCAGACAGCAGCAACCTGTTGCCGGTGACGCAGAGAGGATGACCGGACTCCCGCCGCTGCTGCTGCCGCTGCTGCTGCTGCTCTGCGGCCGTGCTGCGTTCACGGTCTGCAGGTCCTTGAACGCAGCGCAGGATGGAGAGCTTCTGGATGAGGACGGACACATGGACGGTACCGACAGTCTGACCGTATCCACAGTGACAGGTAACGGTTGACGTACCGGGAACAGCGAGCTGACGGGTTATAAAGTTAATAAAGGAGTCATTCTACTAAAAAATTTAATTCATCTCACAAGTACCTCAAAGCTGTCAGAGTTTAGAATTGTCTCTCAGAACTCTGACCTCTGACCTCCCTCTGATTTCTTACTTTTTCTACACTTTACACTACAGTAAACCTAATATTTCTACTTTATGTATATTTTACAGTGTAGTAAATTTTATATAGTGCTTAAAGTAGTTTCATAGTATATTTTATTTTATGGTTTTTATATATGTCGAAGTATTTCTCTATAAATATATAGTATATTTTATACAGCAGTTTTTAAGTATTTCATAGGATTGTATTTTGTATGTGTATATTTATTTTGTTCTATATAGTAGTTTTTGTATATTTTATTGGATAGCGTATTTTATATAGCAGTATTTTTAAAAGATATTTTGTAGTATTATATATATACTTTTATATACTAGCTTTTACATGTTTTTATAATATAGTATATTTAAATGTTACAGTTTTAGTATATTTTATAATATGGTATAATTTTGAACATGTTTTATAGTATAGTATACATATGTTATAGTATAATATATTTTAAGATAAGACATAAGATAAAACTTTATTGATCATGAAGGAAATTCTTGTGCCAGATATTGATCAGAAAAACAAATTTTCATAAGAAATGCAGTGCCTGAAAGTAGAAAACAATGAGATAAAAATAAAAAGTAATGCTGCCAGTATTGCAGTTAAGTATTATTAGACATGATAATGAAATAATGAAATGAAATATTGCACCTAAAAAATGATGAACAATAAAATAAAACGTAGTAGTATTTAATATATTTTTTATACAATGGTATATTTAAAATAGTGTTTTAAAAAAATATTTTATAGTACAATACTGTTAATGTAAAGCACTATAAACAGTGAGCTAAATGACATGAATGTAAATTAAATAATTCACCTATAAAATGAAAGGTCACCTCTGTGAAAGTAGAAAAACAGCTTCCGCCTGTTGGAACCTACCAAAGGTTAAAACTTTGGTAGGTTCTCACTGTGACCTTTTACCTCCCTCTAATTTGAGATCTGGCCTGCAGCCTGGAGCTGATTAAGGAGTCTTCAGAGCACGAGTGGGTGTTCCACAACGCTAGAGCTTTGGTTATACTTATACCTTTTGGACGCACTTGAACACCACGGATGTGCAGTTGTTGTTATTTTACTACAGTCTTGTCCATTCAAGAATTTGTTCTTCTACGTATTTCACACATTTCACCTTGCAGACGTAGAAAGAACATCGGTCTCACCAGGTGGAACACCCACTCTCTACACACAACCCTCTTTAGCTGAGCAAGCAACTAGGTTTATTTATACAGCAGCTTATCATACATAGAGGTTACTCAGAATGCTAAACAAGCAAAAACAAAAAAATACAGCTGAATAAAATTAATTTAATCAAAAGCAGTACAGATAAGTTGAATAAAGTGCACACGATTTTTTTTATAGAATGGATAAACTGATTATAACAACAACAAAAAAGGCAAAAGATGAGAAAAACAAAAACATGCAAAAGATAAGGCATACAGAAAAATTGAAAAAGTGAATTAAATGAAGTAAATTAAATTGCAGACAACTTCTATCATTGGCAGTTTAGACCAAACTATTATAAAACTAATCCATTAAAAGTCTTCAAGATATATATATATATATTGAGATCAGACCATTTAGAAACTTATAAAGATTTATTCAAAAAATCTACATGTGAAATAATGACTGCAAGTAAATCCAGGAGCTAGACGCTTCAAAAAATAATGTCTGGGCTCAATAAAAATACAATGATTGCAACAGTTTGCATCACTCTTTTTGAGTTCAGACAACTTCTAATGAAACTATGTTTAACTAACAAATGACACTGAGTTGGAAGAATTAGTGTTTTCTCTTCAATCAGAGGTATTTTGATTACTACTTATTCAATGATTGGTAGCACAAACACAATCTTTTTTGTTGATTAGTCACAAAAATGAAGTTGTTTCAACTAGAATGTCCACATTTTAAGTTTTACAGATTTAATTGGACTAGTTATGAACAGGAGTGTTTCAGTTGGCATAGACTGAAACAAATAAGTTGCTCCAATTAGATTTTCTTCACTAGTTTTTGGCCATGTCGTAGCTTTTTAGAATTGAATTCATTCGACGACATTTTGTCTGATTAGAATTTTTGTTGCCTCGAAAGGAAAAACATCAAACAATAAATTTGAGTTTAAATTAAGCACAATATTGAGTTAATGCAATTACCAACATTATTATGTCAATGCAACCGGTCTGAAGATATTCTGCAGCTGAATTGTAGATTTCTGGAATTAGAAACACATCAACAGTAAAAGTGGCATCTTTGTCCTGAATAATGACAGTGTGAATCTGATGTGAAATGTTAAAGCGACTTGCCGTCTACAACCCTGTACTCCCAGTTCTCCCAGTAAGAAGCTCACTGTGTCTCTGTGTCCTCAGGTGTGGACAGACGGCGGCGCCACCTGCTGGAGAAAACTCATCCCTTTGTCCTGGTGGATGGACAAAGACGGAGTCTCGCCGAAGCGCTGCAGGTCAGAGGAGTGAAACCATTGGTTCTGTACTGGTTTTACTGGTGTGCTGGGTTTTCTGGGCTTTCGCTGGGTTGTAATGTGTTCATCGTGGTTCATTCTAGTGTTACTGGTTTNACACAACACCCATAATCTTATACACACAACAACACACACAGGTACACAAACTGATGCACACAACAACACACACAGGTACACAAACATGTACATATACTCAACATGAACAATTCATACATAGAAAGGTTGGCCTTTTAGTCTGCGTGTCAGTGTGGGTATCACAGCTGTAGGACTCGGCTCAGAGCACAGAGAGCGTCGATCAAAACTCTCATTGACTCCCATTTTATCAAAACTGCAAAACGTTGGGTGAAAATCACAAACAGTGAGTAGCTCTAACCTGCCACTAAATCTGTGTAACACACAGTCCAGACGTGAAAATACTCAAAACAAGGTTGTGCTTTACAAGGTGAAAGATTTTTTCAATACAACTGACAGTTTTTGAGCTGTGACAGTTTATTCGAGGCGTTAATCCTTAGTCTGCTCTTCTGTCTGCACCCAATCGTGTCTGATACTGGTCTAAAAGAAGAAGTACTACAAACATGGCTGCCTCTATCAGCAGTGTATAATGTGTCACTGTGGCTCTATCAGCAGGACATTTCTAACAGCAGCTCTAAGGCAAATCAACACAGCTGATAGTAATGATATTAACAAAGCCTTGATACATGTTCCAACATGTTCTAACTTGTTCTTACATTTTCTAATGTGTTCTAACATGTCCCAGATCAATATCCATCAGCCATGGAGGGTTTACTGTTGGCTTAAACTTCTAAATAAGAATCTCTTCCTGGTAACAGTAGTTTTCAGAAATGTTCTAATTCCTTCTGTTGTTCTCACTGTGAGAAAACAAACAAGGAAAACAGGATTTAAAGAAGCATGGGTGGACCGTGCTGCACTGTCAGCAGTCAGACGAGGCCACAGCAGTGGCAGGATTAGTCGCAGTAACAACAGTCGTTCTTGCGGTAACAACAGCAGTACTTACAGTAACAACAGCAGTACTTACAGTAACAACAGTAGTACTTGCAGTGTTTCACAGTAAAACTTTCAAATACACACACACATCTTTGTTTGGCTTCGAAGGTTTGCCGCTCGCTGTGATGTCACCACATTTTCAGAAGTGATGAAGAAGCAAACATCTCAATCTCATTAACACACACACACACACACACACACACACAGTGTGTTTAAATACTGTGAGCTGCAGTAAATCTGATCTGAGAGCAGATTAATGTAAGAGCATTACAAACTGTGGTCGAGAGACATTCACACAAGCTGAGAGAGAGAGAGAGAGAGAGAGAGCGAGGGAGTTGTGCAGATTCACGTTTAGCCGCTGAGCATGAAAACATATTTGTTGATTAACAAGGATCGATCGATCGATATCGAGCCGGCTGCATGAAGACACCTCAAGTTTCCTTCTTAAGTCGCGTAAGGCTTAATTATTCCTTAAGCGAAGGATTTTCTTCTGCTGCACAGAATCCCTTAAAAGGTTGTCCTTAGTTATGACATTTACTGAACTTATAGAGATTTTACAGCTGAAAACTTGTATAGTTTCTGAATTTGGCAAATACAGAGTACAAAATGGAAGTGAAACGGTAAAAGAAGAGCTAAAGATGATATCAGAAAACAAAGCACAAACTAAAAAGTTAAAAAACAAAAATCAATTCCAGAAGTCTGGACCTGTTAGTTTTTCTTCATTTGTTACTATGAACTTGATCGTGCTGCAGCTCAGACAGTCAGAGAACATCAAGTTACTTACTTTCACTGATTTGAAGCGATTCCTTCAGTATTAGACAGAGATAAGGAGAAAACATTTAATACTTGAGTGGATATTTTGAGGAAACCTGAAGGAAAAGACTTCAGGGTGTTCATTTCTTTTAACTCAGTCTTTGAGCATCATTTCAACGGCAGGCAGACATTTTTGAAACAAGGCAAAACGACAAAAACACAAAATGACAAAGACCAGACAAAACGACACAAATGAGACACAGAGCAACCAAGCTGAGATATGCAACCAGAAAATGAGAAACAAAATGATAAAAACAAGACACAAGATGACAAAGATGAGGCAAAACAACACAAACATTACACAAGACAATCAAATGAGACACACAATGAGAAAAAGGGGACACAAAATCACAAAAACAAGATATGCAATGACCAAAATGAGACACAAACAAGAAAACAAGACACAAAATGACAAAGATGAGACAAAACAACATGAGACACACAGTGACAAAAATGAGACACAAGATGACAGAAAGAAGACACAAGATGGCAAAGACGATACAAAACGACAAAAACAAGACACAGAACAAGTCAAATGAGACACAATGAGGAAAAACGGACACAAAATAACAAAAACAAGATACGCAATGACCAAAATGAGGCACAACCTGACAAAAACAAGACACAAAATGACCAAATGGCACGCAAAACGACAAAAACCCAATACCAAATAGCAAAAATAAGATGCTACAATTTGTTGTTGTTTCGTGTCTTTTCAGAGTCATTTTGTGTATCTTAGTTGTTGTTTTGCTTTGCTGCATGGTCATTTCGTGTCCCTTTGTGGTCATTTGTTGCCTGTTTGTGGTCATCTTGTGTGTCTTTGTAGTTGCTTTGCATCTCTTTGTCAAAGTTTTTCCATCTCTGTTGTTGTTTCATGTTTCTTTGTTGTTGTGTTGTGTCTTTGTGATTTTGTGGGTCTTTGTTGTTGTTTGCTTCGCTGCATGATCATTTTGTGTCTCTTTGTGGTCATTTTTGTGTCTTTGTGGTCCATCTAGCAGCCACTCAGTAGTAAATCATTATTTCATGTTTAGAACCCACCAGCTCCTCTTGTGCTTCATGTTATCAGTGTAATCGGTGACTGGTCTCTCACCTGGTTTAGCTGTTTTCTCTAACTTCAATCTCTCAGGTCAAATCTGTGACTGAAATTGAATTATTGTCTATTTTTCTGCTCGGATCATTCTGCAGAAATGTGAACATCTTGCAGGTACAACGTAAGCTCCTGTGTCTGTCTGTCTTTCCGTTTGTCAGAGGGAGAAGAAGCGAGTCTTGTTTCTCTACAACCTGCAGATCCAGAGACGGATTTCCTTCACCGACAGTAAACACACCGCGGGCCGAGGACCGAGGAGCAGGACGGTGAGTTGACCTCTGGTTTGTTCTGGGTCTATGTGAAGGTTCCTGTATTGGTGCTCTGTTCAGTCTGTTGCTTCCAGCTGTTTAGAATTATTTCCTCTGAGTTGATCAAACCTGCAGCGTCAGACAACAGCAGGATCCAGAGGAGAGATGAAAGCTGCACAGTGTAACAAACAACAGCAGTGACTTCATCAACTACTTAAAATTATAAATGATCAATCAGCATCTGGCAGCAGGTCACACTGTGAACTTTACTTCACCTCACACACAGTCACAGTTTATCAGCCCTCAAATGTTTTGTTTTGTAATTGAACAAAACAGACATCATCTGCAAAATAGCTATTAATTGTTGAAAGAAGTTATTGTTAAAAATTATTTTAAAAATGTTCATTTTTCATGGTGTGTTGTTGCATTAAAACAGAAGTTTTTGATTACTGGAAGGTGCTGATCAAACATTAAAGATGTTTTGTCCCGTCAGAAGACAGTTTGTCTCGTCAGTCTTCTGCCTTTTGCTGCTGTGGTCTTTGTGTCCATTTTTCCCTGCTGTGTGTCTGCAGGTGTTCCAGCGCCTGGTCAGGTGGTGGCGTCGTCTCTGCTGACATCACAGACAGGAAGTGTTGGACTCAGTGGAGATGCACTACACCAGTGGTTAGACAGAGCTCCACCAAAAAACAGAGAGCTGCTGTATAAATGAAAAAACATATAAAAAAAAACGTGTAATGTATCCCAGAACCCTATTGATGTTAAAATCTGTGTTTTTTAACCTGATTTCTAAAAACAATTTACAGATTTTCCCTGTTTTGTTAAGTTATAGACAATATCTAGTAAATCACAGACAAATTATTTATTCACATGCTAACTGTAAAAAAAACAAACAAACAAACAAACAAACAAAAAAACAGGCCAAAAACTGCCAATATTATCCACATTATTTCTTGACCTTCTCAAATAACAATTTCTTCTTTAATAACATTTGGCCATAAATTTAGCTATTTTTACAGATATTTGCAGAAATTTGTAATTACCTATTGATGTATATTAATGATAGAAAAATTTTAAATATTTTAAAAAACTGTGTCAGATTTTCTCTGTTTTGTTAAATTACAGATAATTTTACACATTCTTTTAACATCACAAGTTATACAAAATTAGGGCAAGAAAATATGTTTTAAGAATGTAAAATGACTGTATCTTCATGAGATGACTATGTACTACTTCTTTTTTGGCAATCTTTACATTACCAATTATTTTACTTTTTTAGTTTTTTGTTTGTTTTTCTTTTAATATTGCATTGACCCAAATATAAACTCCAATCACTTAATTAATCAAAGCTGCATAGGAACAGTAGAAGGTTAGTGAGTACAGGCGGATACAACACATGAAAGTGGAGAAACAAACCCACACCAGGACCCTGCTGCAGTGATGAACCCCTGCTGAATGTATTTCATTCACCTTAAAGCATTTGTACAATCAGTTCAGTTACAGCAGGATCCAACTGAGCCGCGAATAAAGACACGATTCAGTCATTAAAGCGTGCAGCAGTAAGTGCAATTAATATGCAGCGCTGTGTGGGATCACACGATCCGATTACGGCCAGCAGAGTTATGTAAGCAGCTGATCCTGAGCAGCGGCACGTGCAGCTTCATTCACAGCTTTAATCTGATCCACAAACAGCAGCAGCAGCAGCAGCAGCAGCACAACGAGCTGACACTGGATCAGTTTACATCAGCACTCCTCTCTCTGAACTGTTTCCGACCCCTCCGACCCATAATCCTCCTCAGTGCACTAATTATTCAGCTGCCATGTGGATCAAA